GTTAATTCCGTGAAAAAAAAAAAAAAAAAAAAGATATAAGATACTGTAAAGACATGAGCCTTAGGCCTATGTTGCAGACAGGGAAGATGGTAGGAACCAGGATGGATAACCACGGGCAGGTCTTGAACTTTGACCTTTGACCTCTATGAGGTGCTTTGACCTTTCTGAGCCTTGATTTTTCTCCCTGTAAGATGACAGTCTTTTTTTTTTCTTTTTTATTGAGTTTATTGGTACTTTTTAAGTATACAGTACAGTTACAGTCATCATTGGGATTGTATACCTTTCCTTGTCAGATCTTGGTTCTCATTTTTTAAGGTGACAGTCTTTATGGTGCCTATCATGGGACCTATGTGAAGCTTTGTGCTAAGTGCATAGAAAAAGTTTTTACCACCAGCCAGGTGCAGGGGCTGTGCATATAATCCCAGCTCTTGGGAAGCTGAGGTAGGAGCGTCAAAAGTTCAAGACTAGCCTGGGCAATTCAGGAAAACCCTGTCCCAAAATGAAATTTTAAAAATGGCTAGGGTTGTAGCTCATTGCTCCCTTAGTTTAATCCCCAGTAATGGAAGGAGAAGAAAAGAAAAGGCTTCCACCAGCCTTTTCCTGATATGGATAAAGAGGCAAATACAGTGGACCCTTGACTTATGACCTCGATCAGTTCCCGGGTGATGGTTGTAACTCAAGTTGGTTGTAAATCAATACAGCTGAGATCTAGATGTTTACCTTGGTACATGCTATAGATAACATGAGTCAGGTGAATCTTCCATTAACCTGATGAACCTAAATTATTCATGTCAGGCCAGTCATAACTTGAGGGTCCACCGTAATAGCTCTTACTGTTATTTTTGTTTTGTTTTGTTTTGGTACTGGGGATCGAACTCACGACCTTGCATTTGCAAGGTTAGGTGGTGGCACCACTGAGCTAAATCCCCAGCCCTATTATTGTTATTAATAAAGCTGCAGCCCAAAGTGAGGAAGGGATGATGGGAACAAAAGAGATCAGGATGAAGCTGGGTAGGCTGGCACACCTGTAATCCAAACATTCAGGAGGGTGAGGCAGGAGGATAGCCATGAGTTTCAGGCCAGCCGGAGTACATTCTGAGTTCAAGGCCAGCCTGAACTACATAGTGAGACCCTGTCTCAGAAAACAAAACAAACGAAACAGATCAGGATAACT